GTATTCAGAAAACAATGAAATACAGGGCATTTGATTTTGAAATAAGGAATATGTTTTTAATTCCATGCATGGGGCTAAAGATGAGGAATAGGAGGCAATTTGGACTCAAATGTAGGACTCAGCAAATAAACCACTGCAAAAAAAAAAAAAAAAAAAAAAAAAAAAAAGCCACATCACACTGTCTGGCACTGAGGAAGATTTAAATATGGACAAGAACAGGGTGACTTCTAGGAAGGACACGGCTGATGGGAACAATGAAGTAGGGAGTGGGGAATCCAGAGTCCACATGAAGGTTCTGGTTACTTCTAGGGAAACTTTAGGTGTAGCGAAAGTAACGGTTTTACTTAGTTTTTATTTATTTATAAAGGAAACCAAGTTCCTCACTGCCAAGAACCAATTTGTGACCACTCCAATACCAAACAGGCACGCTGTCACATGAGGTGACTGGTTTAGAGGTATAGAGAGGGGCTTCCATTCAACTGTTTCTCAAAGGTCACAGGCCCCTTCTGAGCCAGTTTCAGAGTCCTGGCCCTGCCACATTCTGGCTGTAACCTTGTGTAAGACACAGTACTTCTACTGGTCTCGATTTTGTGAAAAAGGATGAAAGCAGAACCTGTCCTTCTTAGCTTTGTGAGGCTTGAGCAAGATAACTAACATAAAAGACTTCAGCTGTGTGTGTGACAGGCTTCATGGGTCTGCTGTTCAGTCTCTGCTTTATTTATTCAGTCCTGGATAAGAGACTATTTTTGTGAAAAAAAAAATTGGCTTTGCTTAATAAAATAAATATAGCATGGTTCCTAAGAGCCTTGGAGCATTTTGTTGATAGGAAAGCCTGGTTCTCACATGAGGACTGACTCTGTAGACCCATTTGCCATGAGAGGAAGGTTTGTGTGTGCCCTCTCTCACAGGCTTCCAGCTTGTGCCTAACACTCTGCACTCAGATGGCAAGGTTACAGGGATGTACAGTTTAAACTTTTCATTTGACAGAGGAAGCTCATTATTTTCAAGTCTGGAGAACTTCAAAATAAGCTGGTTGCTTTCTGTGTTTTGTCTCATTAGATAAAGACAGAAAGTTCTAGTTGTTTTTCTATACAAATATACAGCTTGTGTTTTAATTAAAACAAGAACCAGTCCCCTGACCAGAGGGGAAAAACATGAAATACAAAGCTCCAACTACGTAATTGGGCTATAGTTGGAGGGTAAGGAGGGGAGTTTTAAACCCCAGCATGAGTTTTGTAAACATCTTTTCCAAATGCTGCCTGGACTCCCCGCCACCTCCTCCTGACACTTCATCAGGAAAGAGGCAAAAGAGTGGATAGAGATAGAGATCTATGCAATCCAAAAAAAAAAATAAATAAATAAAAATAAAAGCACATTCATGGGAAGCTTCATTTCTCTTTACGATAGTGAGTTAGCACTTGGGAAACGTTCCTTTTTGAGTGTCAGCACTGGAATCATTCTCATTTAGCATCCTTGATGGCAAATGTTCCTAGTTTTAGGCCAAATAGGCCTAAAACACTTATGTCATTAAAAGTGTCTTCACTTTTTTTCTATGCAATCATTAAATACCAACAGTCAAACTCTGCCATGCTTAGGGTATTAAACTTGTATCATACTGAATTATGATAAAAATAATCCATTGCTGGAGAGGTTTGAATAGAGCTTCTTCAGTTTCAAGGGGGATTGGACTCCTTACCCTCCATACTGACAATATTTTGGCTGGATAGTCCTCTGCTGAGGAGGCTGTCCTGTACATTGAACATTCCTGGTCTCTACCCCCCAGTAGCACCTTCCCAGTACGACAATGAAAATTGTTATCGCCAAATGTTGATGGATGGGAAACAGCATCAGGTTCCACAGAGATGGCTCTGCTTCACCTTGACATAAGGTCAGAGAGTTCAAAACTATCCTTGCTCTTCCAAGGTTAAAGTCATATGACCTAATGATCTAAGGCATGGCTACGGTAGGATGATTATTCTTAGGCATGAATGTCTTATCTAAATAACAAGAGACTAAGTCTGAGGGTGTGGTTACTCTTAACCCTCAAGGCCATATAATGAGAAATTTAGTCTAATGCATGGTTGCCAGATGTTTGGAGAATTAAGGAAGAAGGCCTGTTTCTTCCTTGTATCTCGATTAAAAAAAAAAAGTCTTTTGCCATGTCCCCCTTTTTGGTTGGGGTACTTAAGAATGTTGAAGAATAAACTTGGGGCATCCAGTATTCATCCAGTATTCATTGGATTGTCCTTCTGACTCTATTCTGTGTCTCTGTCTTTTCCTGTCATTTCTCAATCCACATGCCCCATCTTAGGCACAAATATGGGATAATACAGACTGGCTCCACAAAGTGGGGCTACCGAAGATGGGTTACTACCAAAACAGGGGCAAAAAAAAAAAAAAAAAAAAAAAAAAAAAAAAAAAACACCTGCCATTGGTGTGGAGTATTACAATAAACTATATTCATCTGGAAGAAGCAGGAATGAGCGACAGAGAAACTGAGGATTCTGGAAACAGTGTGCTCCTGACTAACTGGGTGATCCTTGGCAAGGTGTAAGGTCAAAGGAAGATAGCTACAGTAACTTCTCTGTAGGATGTGTGAGGATGAAACATATATTGCCTGGCCTGTAGGAAATAATTAGTGTTAGCCATGATTGTTTCATCACTGCTATACAATTCAAACCTGGCTGAAGTTTTAATGCAGGCTAAAGATCCAAACATTAGAGTCTACATAAAAGGGAACTTTTAGGGAAAGGTACATACTTACTGATGGAAATCTGAATTTATGGTTCAAAGTGGTCAAGTTAAAGAGGCTCAACCATTGCATAATCCTGTAACTCAATCCTGTAACTTTGCTAAACAGCTTCAGTTATTGCTTAATATATTTTATCTTTCAAGCAGAGCTTCCTAATTCATCAAAATTATGGGCTGCTGCCAGTTGATTCTTCTGTAAATACAACTGCTCTGTGTACTTAAAAGAAAATCTTGACACCATGCCTGGTCTTTTCCCTCGAGTTCTTTCTCCACTATTGGTCAGATAAATATTATTGTATTATTCATTGAAACAATAACAAAAGCTACTATTTTAAAGAGTAACTTACTGTGTGCCAAGATAAGTGTTTCACATATATTATCATTTCACCCAAACCTTAAAACAATTTTTAAAGTTAGATGAGTATTTCAGGGAAGTGAAATTAATGTGCTCCAAATCATCCAGCCAATGAAGGGCAGAAGAAACTAGGAGCCTGGGCTGGCTGTCTTCAGAGCCTGATCTTGTAAAACACAACCTGACCAGTTAGTCGCAAGATGCCTGCCTCAGAGAGGCAGGAGATCATAAAATTAAGGCCAGCCCAGACTACATAGTGACACTCATGTCTAACAAAACCAAAGAGCTGGGGATACAATTCAGTGGTAGAACACAAGCTTAGAATGTATGATTCAGTAGGTTCTGTCCCTGGCCTGGCAAATAGAAAAATGAATAAACAACTGCTTGAAACAAAACAAAACAAAACAAAAAATCAACTCTCAAGCTACAACTTCATCATCAAAACTCAAGAGCTACCACCACCAAACTCCTAATGATCAGTCTTTCTTACTACATCTTTCAACTTTCCAGCAGATCTTTCTACTATCTTTCACTTTTTTGGCTGTCATTCAACTCCAAATACCTTGAGAGGACGAGACACAAAAGAACTACATTCCGAACACTTTCTCAAGTCAAGCATGGTGGCTGATTAACATCACACAACATGGAAAAGAGGACTCTTACTTCACATTAGTCTGAATAAGGACCAGTAAAAAATAACTAGAACCTGAGATAGGCTGAATAACAAAGGAATATTTTTTCTAGTCCAAAACCAGAATGATCCAAAGTTATATGAAGGAGGTGATTTATCCTATCTACACCTGTGATCCAACTGTCATGTACAGTCCACCTATTACTGTATGTGCAATGAGGAGTGTGGCACAGGAATACATTTCCAGCAAGTCAGCCCACTGTGTGGGGGCAACATCCAATGGTGACCCAAAACTCCAGGCTCTGAGAGATCAAAGAAAATGAGGTCAGAAGCTATGAGCTCCTGGGGCAATAGTGCCAACATGTTGCTGGCACTACATCAGAACTGATTGTATGGCATGGAATACATCACATGCAGCTCTAAGCATTCTGTATGGAGACAATTTGCTCAGAGGCTTTAGTGATTGCAGAAGAAGCAGGCCATGAGTGTTAAGGGAACTGAGGGACTCATCAGTCAGTAGTGCTTTGGAAGGGTAGAACCACAGATACCAGGTGATGTAGTCTTCATCAGCACATGAGTTGTCAGTATTCCCAGTGTCCAATCTGTGTTTTGATATTTCCAATGATTGGAAAAGTTCCCTTTATCTTAATATTTGTGTGTGTGTGTGCACGCGCCCACATACATGAGCACACAAGTGTAGTATTCATGGAGGGTAGAAGCGGGTGTCAGATCCTCTGAAGCTGGCGTGAAAAGCGGTTGTTAGACTCCTGATCTGAGTACTGAACTCAGATCCTCTGGAAGAGCAGTACTTGCTCTTAATTGCTTAGCCATCTCTCCAACCTTCTCCCTCTAAGTTTTATCAATTAAATGTCAAGTTGGCTTTAGTCTATGTTCTTGTGACCTTGAGAGAATGCTAGTTGTGATACAGACGTATAAGGAAACTGGGAATGAACACGTAAAATTATGTACATGTGCTATAGCTTTACAAACAGACTCATCTGTAATTTTAAAACAACCTTGAAACACATTAGGAATGGAATGCTAAGCAAAGCTGAATGTCTTTCACCCCTCATCCCCAGCTCACACACAATTTGGAATCATTCTTTCTTAAGCCCAGAGAGCTCCATCTCCAAATCACATTGTGTTTCTTACACTGCTTGTTTTCAGTTCATAAATGTAGTTGGGAGAGTCATGGAAATACAGATAATACAAAGAAAGCAGCTCATAAGCTTGAAGGCAGAACACTGTGGAGGTAGGAATACTTACAGAAATGTCATCACTAAAGTCAATTTCATCCAAATCAAGGTATTCAGGGGCTTCCATTATTCTTCTTTGTACATTTTGAGTAAGGTCAAATACTTATAATTTCCTGGATAAGGCATAAACAGAAAAGAATGACCAAAGGTTAGCTATTTATAACGAAAAGTATTATCCCTATTTGAATAAATAAAACTGGAAAAGGTAATTGAATAATAGCGTTGCCTTGGGGCACATTTCCTTCCCAGCCAGGCTTTCCAAAGGCTAGGAGCACAGCTCCTTCAGTCCTCAGCTCCACTCCCTAGGGAGTTCCCATAATCCTTTGCTTTACTTGATTAGTACTTATTTTCTCCTGGGCAGTAATCTGGGTCAGAATTTCCCCTGTGATAAATGATAACTTTCAAGGAAGCCCATACCCTGCCCTTACCATACCCTGGGTGAATGTTTGCGCTTTATGGAAAGACAATCTCCTGAAACTGTTTGGGAAACTGTGTTCAGGTGTTTTCTCTGGGCATATCCTTGGCTGCTGTGTATGGAGCAATGAATACTTCATCTCCATAGTAACCACACAGGTACTAGACAGATACCAACTAATCAAAAGTAATGGCTAGTTTAGAATATGTGGTGTGAATCTCAAATTTAACAAGAGAGACAGGGGAAGGAGGTGGGGCTTGTCTCGATTTGAATTGAGTTATTGCATTGCCCTCTGCTTTAAGCAGCATTGGCTGACAAGGACCAGAGTGACCTGACACAGGCACCAAAATGTCCTCTGTCAGCACTGGCCTCGGGGATGCCTATGGCAATCCTTTAAATCTGTCAGGGTAAGAGACATCACTTCCCACTGCATTTTCCCATCACTTATCATCATCACCATTGGCAGTGACAGTGGTACCCACACATGTCAAGAACAGAAATAGAGATCTCCTGGTGGTGCCTTGGAGTGCAATTATCCTCTGTCAGCTCTCAGATACTGAAAAAAAGATTCTGTTCCTGTGGTGTGTCTTTCTTATTACACAAATCGTCTTAGGTATTCACATGTGAGTGTCATAAATAGTTCCTGTCTTGTTCTTTGGATTCTGCCATGAAGACATGTACTGAATACAAAGATTACTGGACAGTGAAAGTGCATCTAGGCAGATGAAAATGAGCTTCTTCACACAAAACTAAGTCTAAGCCGGCTTTTAAATTTATATTATTGAGACAGGGTTACACTGTATAGCCCTAGCTAGCCTAGACCAAATTGCTCTCTAACATTAAGTGATTCTCCTGCCTCTTCCACCAAAGATTACAAGAATGTCTCATCATTTCTGGACAGCTGAATTATTTTCTTGAAAGGACACTCCAATTCTTTTATTTATTTATTTATTTAAATTTTAATCACATGCACCCTGACCACCCTTCCCTCCCATTCCCCCCTCCCCACTCCACATGTAGGGCTATGCCATCCAGGTGGGGTCATGTAAATCTGACAAGTCATTTGAATTAGGGACTAGGACTTCTCTCCTGTCCCTAGGTTAAGGGAGTATCCCTCCATGGGGGATGAGGACACTCCAATTCTAATCATATCTTTTTTTAAAAAAGATTTTAATCTATTCTCCTTTTTTAAGTCATGAAAATGGTGTAGCTATGCTACAAAAAAAGAAATCACACCTCAAACCTATGACCTAAATTTTCCATGTATCCTCTTCCCTTCCCACATACATGTATCACTTACAGACTTTATTATAATACAGAACCATGCAAGAACAGATTAGTGTGTTGTTTTAAACTCAAATGAAATGATCTATTTAAACATATGGATACAGTTCTTCTGAAATCATGGTTTTAAAGAAAAAGAAAAATCACATTTGTAAAAATAAAACTCAAAACCAGACATTTTATTATTGATAAAAAAATATCTAGAGAGTTCAGAAGCCAAGTGCTTAGATGTGAGAAAGCACAATACTTTCCCTGTAATCCTCACAGAATTCTTTTAGAGGAAAACACACATCCTTGTACTTGCAAATGGCTCATAGTGACTTTTCCTTGCATACATTCACAGGTTCAGACCCGTACCCCCACCCCCAAGACTGTGGGTTTCAACTCATCAGCTAATAGCTTGTCTTCTTGCTTACATTTTCCCCCAGTCTGCACCTCTAGGATGAACTGTAGATCCACAGGCCATTTGCCATGGCTTCAGTGAAAAACACAATGCTGACACTATGTGTTGTGGCCAGGTGCAACCAGCAGCAACTAGTGCCCTAATTCCTTTTGGATGGACTATATCTGTTGTAATTAAAATGACATAAAATGATCCAGGCCTGTGGCAAGGGAAGGAGAATGAAATTAGGAGAGAGGATGGATTTTGTGTTTATCGTAATTGTACCATTTTATACTATAAAGAGACAGTGCAGGAGAGGACAGTAATGGACCAGGATCACAGAGAATACAGAAATATGAAGAAAGACATACACTAGAACTGGGAACCAAGCAGATCTTTAAATGCACAGAAATACAAGACTAAATACAAATTGCTGATGAATACGCCTCAGGCAACCCGATTAACAAGTGGTTACTGAATCCATTTTTGGTGTTCTCACAGTAGAAAGGGCATAGTTCCTTTAAATGTAGCCAGGTTAGCAGAACAGATCTAGAAGATGATATGAATTACCACATCAAAGCAGATATAAAAATCTTTGTATTTGCTCTTGGAAGGTAGGGATGAGATTTGAGATTTTATTTTTCTTTATTTATTCCTTTTAACTTCTTATTAATTGTTTGTGGTTTCACATCATACATTTTTTTTTGGTCCCATTTATCTCCCTGCCCATTCACTCTGCCCTGTGCCCCTGCAACCCCCCTCAAAAAAAAAAAACAAAACAAAATAAAAATTAAAAGAAAAAGAAAAAACTCATTGTGGAAGCCACAGTGTGACACAGTGAGTCACACAATGTACCCATCAGCTCATACATTTTAATATGTGAGTGGTCATTGCAATGAGTCCTTGGTCTGGTTGGAGGCCTCTTGTTTCTGCGGGGCTCTCACCGGTACTCCCATTGAACATCCTGTTGTTGCCTTATATCATGGAGATCCTGTAGCTTTGGATCTGCAGGATGGAGCCCTTTATGTGCGGCAACAGATCACAGATGGGGTGGGTTTTGGGATGAGCCAACTCACAGCCATGGTTCTGGGCCTGGGTGGTAGCTGGGTTGGTCAGCCTGCCAGCTCTCCCTCTGGATGACATTTTCTTGACTCTACGGACCAAGAAGACTGCATCTGGGACATTCCTTCACTTCCTACAGAGCCATCTCCTTTAAAAATGCTTGTTCTGTCTGTGACCTGGTTCCTTTTGTGTGGTTTCAATGCTTTTCTCTCTCTAGGGGTCACTTAAGGTGTATTTATGTTGTCACTTGTAATGTGTGGAAATCCCCACAGTTTATCAGTCCTGGTCACATTGCCAGGTGTTTCATTTCAATTGTCCCTGTGGTCATTTATTGGTCTCTCCCTTTCTCATGTGCCTTTCCACTGGGCATCAGCATCACCTTTTAAGACATGGGAGTGGGGGGGGGGGTGGGGAGGTCTGTCTAGGTAGCTACTTCAAACAATGACATATGATAAGCAAGGGAGCTGGGCTCTAGTTTATTTTTCTTTCCTACTCTTTAGCCCCTTCCACCCACCCAAAGCCCACTTTCCTAACCGATGACACACATATTCTCTAACAGAAAGTCTAGTACAACATAGAGCATGTATGGGAAACCCATGAGCCATAGGACTGTTTAAAAAAAAAAATAAAAAGGTGGAGGGAACCCAAAACAAAACCCAGCAACACATGAGTTGCCAACTTCTAGACTCTGGGTTATTTCACATGACATTTTTTATTTTGGGCTTTGCTTTCAAAAAATATCTAAAGTCTTGGCTTGGCCACATGGGCCCACATTCCCAATAACCATGGCTGGTTGCAGCCAACTGGCAGATGCTCACAGTCTCATCGTACCTACTAAGTTGTGCACCCCAGCTCAGCTGATCCCACCTAGGCTGCTCTGCTCAGTTCTGGCTTGCAATGCATTGGAGTTTGGACCCTAGAAGACACACTGCAAAAAGGAATGCAGCTTTAAACAGTAAGTGCCACCACCACTACTGTCCTACCCTTTTTAGTGAGTGTCTCCTGCCAAGACTGTTGACTTCATTTGTATTCTAAGACTGAATTTGTTGTATTAAGATCATTTGAAAGTCATACCACAAACAGCAATTTTTTTTTTTAATTTAACAAATAAACTCCTGGCATGTCACAATTTTAGTTTCATGGTCTCCAGGATTAGGGAACAAGAAACCTTCGCAAACATAATAAAATGTTACGAGGTCCGATTATGTTTCCTCCCCTTTACAACCAGGGGGTGGAGGGGGGTCTCACTTTCTTATGACTGGTGTGGGTTTACATGGTGAGTAAAGGCAAAGCAGGAAGCCATGCCAAGTACTATCCCAGAAAAAGACTAAAAAAAAAAAAAGCCTTCCTCCCTCTGTCCCAGAGCAGCAGCTCAGCTGCAATCCAACTGCCCCCTTACAAGATGGGGCTTCTCCCTAAGTGAAAAATATGTTTCAGGTATTCAGAAAGAGTAGTTCAGCTTTAATCCTTTACATGAGATTTCAGTTACTGTGAATCACATTTATACCCTTGGGGTCACAGCGGTTCTCAGCTTGTAGGTCCTGACCCCCCTTGACAAAACTATCTCCCAAAATACTTACAATTCACAACAGTAGCATAATTACAGTTAGAAGTAGCAACAAAAAAAATTTTCTGGCTGGGGTAGGGGTCACCACAACATAAAGAACTATATGCAATGTAATGTTGCAGCGTTAGGAAGGTTGAGAACCACCACTTTAGGATCTCAGGGTTTTATCACTTAAAAGTCTATATAGTTCTAGGCACCATCATCCCCAACCCTGCAAGCTACTGTCGAAGTCCTGGGGGCTTCTGTTTGTATTGAAGCACACCTTTCATCTGCAACATACATCTCTGAAGATAGGCCCCCTTTAGTGAAGTATTGCCAATGGACCAAAGTTAGTCTAGTTCAGACTCCATTGAGCTTTTAATCTCTCTCCACTGTATTGTTATTCATGTAAGGAGGTCTGTGG